TCAAATTCTGACCTAATTTGTTGCATTCACTTTTGACAAATGGTCCTGTAAAAGGCACAAATCTATCTCTTCTCTCCTCCAGCTATTGGTTAAATAATAAGATATACTGAGTTCTGTAGCATTGGGTGACAATCTAAGAGAAGGAAAACTGAATTCAAGACTATGGAGGAGGTAAGTGGAAATCATTCCACTGTCTTTCCCAAGAATGCATGGCAATTCACAGATAAAAAAAGAAGAATCTGCAGAGACCTGTGATTACCTACATCCTGAAATGACATTGCATTTAAAAATAATTTTCACACACCATGCACACATACAGTGGGGTGATGATAAGATCTAGGTCCAATTTCATTTGCCAGATTTTGACCAAATTACAAAATATCAGATATAATTTGGAAAAGCTTCTTGGTCAGTTTAAGGACTTTTCAGCACTCTATCATATACATTGATAGAAGTTTGCTTAAAGTTCAATGGCAAATAATTTTTTTATATTTCTTCTTTTTAGATTGAATTTAACACAAGCAAGGGAGTAAAGCCACTAAGACATGGGGGTTACTGAGTGTGAAAGAATTAGAAACCAGAAACATTAAGGAGTGAGAACAATAGAAGAATAATCAGGAAGACAGTAGATAATGATTGACATTGCATTTAACTTTTTGAACATCAAAGTTGACTGGAAACATGGAGCTGGAAGAGAGTTCCACAAATGAAAAATGAGAGAAAAGAAACTGTTAGCATAGAACTCACAGTTACATCTAGCCAATTAAATTCTAAATTGTTGAGTCCTTCTTGCCAATCTAGTACTGTGCTTAAATTCATAAAGCCCAGGTACCACAGCGAAGAGCTCGCTCAAACAATTTCCATGAAAATATTTATAGAAAATGCACAGGGAAGCAATTTTATGGCAATGGAAAAGTGACTGAAGCCAAGATGCCAGGTGAGGACCAATAATATTGCTGATTCTTCTTTGGACTTTATCAAGAATCTCTAAATATGTAGTAGAAGCACTGGACCATATGTGGCAGCAATATTCTAAGCATTGTTGAATGATATATATATATATATATATATATATATATATATATATATATTTTATATTTTGTACAATGTAAAGGTACAAGGTAGAAGGTTACAGAGTAAGAGGCATAATTTATGTGGATATGTGACGAAGATAATGGCTATCCTTAGACTTGAACAGGTTAAGGTTGTAGTGATTGGGGAAGCATCCTATTAGCAGTCAGTTCCACAGAGCAGTAGTTTGTGGGAAGAAGCTGCTTGAATGGAACTTATATTTCACACAATGGAATACGAAAGGAATGTGCATGTTTCACTATATGTGCATGGCATAGTGGGTCTTAGCTATGAAGTCAAGAACTGGTGGAGCAAAGGCGAATGAAAATATTTTAGTGGGGAGAAGTGAGGAAAAGAACAATAAAGAAACAGCATTCAAGGAGTTCTAGGAGCAAGAAGTGCAAGAAAAAAAACAGTAAAACCATGAGACCTAATTGCCAATATAGTAGCATGCTTAAATTGATGCAGTCAAAGCACTAAGGAGAACAGCTCATCAGAACAATTGCCATGAAAATATTTGTAGAAAAGACAGAGAGGAGCCACATCACGTCAATGGGAAAATGACTGGTGTCAAGATGTCAGGTCAGGATGAATTACATTACAGAAGCTTTGAATTAAGCAACATATATCAATGTAGTAATAGCAATACTGATTTGAAAAGGTTTAAACAGATATAAAACATGAAATATATACAAATGAAAATTTTCTTTAGGTAGAATATATAAAATAATTTGTTACATACATTGAAGATCACTGTACCTTGTATCTATGTTCTCTTTTACAGTAAAAGGAATAGTGGAATCATTCTTTGTTTGTAACATTTAATCAAACCTGCCTCAATGAGGGTTTACTGTTCAAATATACTATATACATACATGCATACAAAAAAAAACAAAAAAAGGACAAATAATCACATTACCCTACATGTACACACATCCGTACAAACAGGCACATGCATGTGAACGCACAGCCATACAGATGGGCACATGGCTGCAAACACACAAACAATATGAAAAAACTTGCACCAATGATAAGTGCATAAAAAAGAAAAAAAGTCAATTGCTGATACCCACTGATGAGTTGACAGATTGGTTCGTCTATAAAACTCTGGAGTTGGGATGCTGAAGGTAACATCAAACAGCTAAGTGACAAACTTTTACTTATATTAATTATATATATATAAGATTTTCCTTGAATGACAAAAATTTTAATATGGCCCTTAAAACATTCCCTTATAAGTGAGAAAGCAAAATGAAAGAAACAGTATAATTACTGTAGATGGTAATTTGAAAAAGAAGAAAAAAGAAACAGCTGACTGGTTTTCATTCCTCTCTCTTCAGAGCTCAATCAAGGAAATAAAATAAATGTGCACCACAACTAAAAGGGGAAAATTAATCTAAATGAGGATAGGATATACACATATATATTCAAAATCATCATCAAGTGCTTTTGTTGTCATGACCTGCTCACATCTGAGCATCAGGATTGTTATCCTCTCTCACTATTCCTTTTCTTTCCCCTGGTGACAATGAGAGATGGCTGTGAATCAGAGAAAGTTTGATGAAAACATTCATGTGAATTTGATTTTTTAAGGACAACTCTGCACAATGGAGGAACACACACACACTTAGCACCTCCATTGAGACAGGAGAGATCTAACAAATCTGGTTGCATCAGGCTGTCAGATGCTTGGTTTGTCAAAGTCCACTTTGGTTATGCCAGCCTAACTGGCACTGCCATCTTCCACTGGTTTGACAAACATGTGCTAGGTTCTACAAATCTACCATACATCCATACATTGAATATTGTTGCCATATTGCCATATCTGGTCTGGTGCCCCTGCTGTTCTTCTTGAGATTCTCAACAAAACCCAAAGAAGGATGTGTAACATGATCGGTCCTGACTTGACATCTCGACTTCAGTCACTTTCTTGCCAACATGACATGGCTTCCTTCTGTCTTTTCTACAAATATTTTCATGGCAACTGTTCTGATGAGCTATCTTCCCTGATGCCCTGACTACATGAATTCAAGTGTGCTACTAGATTGGCATCTAGGTCCCAATGTTTTACAGTTGAAATAGTTAAATGCAACTTCTACTCAAGCAGTTTTTTTTCTAACTCTTCCTGACAGTGGAAGTCCCTTCCTCTTACTTGCTTCCCTGATAACTACAACCTTCAAAAACTTAAATGCAACATCAATTGCCATCTTCTGTTGCCATGATCCCCATTCTTCTTTTATCCTTTCCTCAATCTCCCCCTCTGTACAAAATCTTTTACCTCATTTTCGCTCTCTGTAACCTCCTGCGTGCTAGTAGTACAGCCTTCTAATGCAAACAGAAGAATTGTTTGTTAGTCCTTTATATGATCTGTTTGTGACACATATGCATAAATTGGTATATTATTAATATATGTGTATCCTCAATTAATAGTGTCCTAGGTATAATGATAAACTACATCTGAGTCCTGGGTAAGATGATAAACTATGTCCAGCAGCAAGGCCTCTGATCAGGAGGTTTTGAGAAGCATGGAACCACCTCTTAATTGCTGGTGTTCCCAGGTCCACTCTGACCCAGGGTGGTAGCACCTGTTAGGGTCCCAGCTATGGGCAAATAGTTTACTCCAAAACTGAGGTAAAAACACTATAAGAGTGTAAAAATAAGTTTTAATACCAGAAATAAATTGTAAAAAAATAATTACCAGCAATAAATTTTTGAAGGAAAAAATAATATTACCAACAAAATGTTTTTGAAGAAAAAATATTACCAGCTATACATGTTTGAGGAAAAAATATTACCAGCAATACTTTTTTGAAAAAATTATTACCAGTAATACATTTTTGGAGGAAAAATATTACCAGAAATAGATTTTTGACAAAACAAAATATTACCAGTAATAAAAATCTTGCCAGCATTAAATAACCCATTGGGGTTGATATGCTGTAAAACAAAACAAACCAAACCAATCCAATCCTCAATTAATATGTGTATCCTAACATACGTGTGTCCTCATTTAGGATATTTACCGCTTTTAGTCATAGCAGACATTTTTTATAATCTTCATCAAGCTCTAAAGAGAGAGGAACAAAAAACTGTTCAGCTGTTTGCTTTTATCTTTGTTTTGCAAATTACCATTGATGGTAATTATACTTTTACTTTCATTCGTTTTTGTTTCCCTTTAATGTAATATGTCTGTTTTAATTGACACACAAACACACACACACACATATATATATATATATATATATATATATATATATATATATATATATATATATATATATATATATATATATATATATTTGGTGCATTTGGGTAGTAATCCCTCTTTTAAGTTTTATAAAAATGACTGACAAGTAACTACAGTTAAGTTTTTTATTTCATTTTCTGTTGTGTTTTTATAATTTTTTTTTCTTTTCTGTACATAAATTATGTAGAAATTGTCCAAATGTTCTGTATCTCCAAGTGCTTTTAGCCATTATCAAGGATGATTTTATTTTTAATTTTAACTGAATGTATGGATTGTTTTATGTATGTATCTAAAGTTATAGGAATGTTTTATTTTCCAAACAAAATAACATCAACTATAAACAATATTCATAGCACATTGTTACTCGATGTTACTGAGCTTAGTTTTTCTTTTTTTATTAATAATAATGCTTTATATATATATATATATATATATATATATATATATATATATATATATATATATATATATATATGAAGAAATATAGTTTTAAGGTGTGCTATATTTATGGGATAAAGTGCTCCTTATCAGAGATAGAGCATATGTAAATATAAATATAAAAGTGAATATTGAAGTCAACACTCAGAGATGCCTCTGAGTGTTGACTTCAATGTTCACTTTTATATTTATATTTATATATATATGTGTGTGTGCGTGTGTTGGTGTATTTCTATGGTTTACCACCATATCACATTGAAACACCAGTCCCCATATGATCACCGAAGTTAAGCAACGTTGAGCTTGGTCAGTACCTAGATGGGTGACCACTTGGGAATACCAGGTGCTGTATGTTTGGATGTATGGGTGGTGTAATGGATAATGGCTCATAATTGTTAAGAGATGAGTTCCAATTCCCATTGGGTTCATTATATTCACTTACATGCAAATACCCTGGGAAAGATATAAATCCACCTCTTCTCACCCCAGCTATGGGTTAATTACTAAGATGCATGTCACTAAATCATTATTATCAACAAAAAAAAATTCTTACAATCTAAAAATATTTTCTGGCTTTAAATAACCTGTTATGGGTTGATATGCCACAGAAAATCAATCAATTAATATATTTCTACCTTTCAAAAATATATTCTTTTTTAATGAAAATGGACTTAAACTTGACTAATTTATGATTGACAACTGCAATTTTAAAAACTTTTATACTTACCTGTCTTGTGATCTTGTCTCGTAGAATTACCATGCTTTCCATTTGTCTTTTCAAATCCTCAACAATGAATTTTGCCTCTGGTGTGAAATCGCATACAGCATCTTCTAAAAGCAGGACATTTGAGCAGTTTTTGTGGATAGTCATATGGCACTTGTAGCAGATGCACATTTGACAGTTCATACAGAAAGACTTCAATGGTTCATCTTCGTGCTTTGAGCAAGGATAACCAGAGCTACCCACCATCATACTTCTCATACTGCCAGACATGCACAACTGATGCAATGCTGTCATGCGTAGTGAACGGTGTGTATCAGCACAGTTCTGGCACAATGCCTGGTTACACTCTTGGCACCAAATGACACTCCTAGCTTTGATATCATCATTAATACACATACCACAGTATTTGGTCAGTGGCTTAATGTCAAGCTGCTGCATCAAACTGACCAAGTGAAAGTTGTCAGGAAACGAATCAACAACAGCACCAAGGCTTCCAACACTGAGACGTTGCTGCCATTCAAGCTTAACCCTCTGCTTGCAGACAGGACATGGGAAGCTGTCATAATGAAGAACGGAGGACGATGAAGCAGATGAAGGCTGTCTGGATTGTAGATAAGAGAGAAGGCACTCACGGCAGAAAGAGTGCAGGCAAGGGAGAGATTTCGGTTCTGTGTATGGTTCGAGGCACAAATTACACACAAAGTTTTCCAATAAGGAATCTTCCATGTTAGTGATAAGGTTTGTGAAGAATTCAGAATTCAGCTTTCTTGTTGAGAACTCAAAGTTTTAAATATATTGACGGGACAGTTGATCTGAAAAATAAATAAAATAAAATCTCTATATATATGCATAAAAAAAATACCATCTAATAGTTATATATAATACATTTAACTACAAGTAATTGTTTCAATCACTTCAATACAAAGTATACATACTCATACACACACACACTCACACACATACACACGCACACATATATATATATATATGTATTCAGCTCTCTGGGCCACTGATGTATTTTCACATAGGAAACTTTAAAATTTCCCTTCCTCTCTGATGTGTGATGATAGCCTAGGGGTAGAATCTCTGACTAATACCAAATCAGTTGGGTTTTAATCCTGACTTGAAGCAATCAGACGCCTAGCCACACTGAAGACCTGTGGTACAGCCAAACAGTCTGTCTGATAACCTATATATATATATATATATATATATATATATATATATATATATATATATATATATATATAAATTACTATTAATCTGTATTTGACTGAATGACTGAATTATATTTCTGTTGAATGATTAATAGTTTATATTGTGTATATATATATATAAAATTGTGTATTTGGGTAGCAATTCATTTTTATACAAGTTTCACTGAAAATAACTGACAAGGCACTGCAATTAATTTTTTATTAAATTTTTCTTGCATTTGTACATGTGATTTCCTTATATTGGATGAAATTATCTTTATGAAGTTTTCTAGAGTACACAGGCTGGTAGACAAAATAAATAATGTCTAAAATAAATTGAGCATCTACTCAAATATGTGTCTCTACTAAAAATAATGTTTGAAGTAAAAATATATAATTGCTGATGTTTCCTGATGAGTGCACCAAACAGCTACATAAAGATTCTTCTATGAAACTCCACATTCAAAGTGCTGAATATAACATGTATCAACTAAGTGACAAATTTTATTTGTATTAATCCTCTCTCTCTCAAATATACATATATGTTTGTTTACATCTGTAAACAATATGTTGGAATTTCTCTTTCTCTCTGCCGTGCACCATTGGTTTAAGGGTAATGTCTCCATCTGATGCCAAATCAGTAGGATTTCAACCCCAGCATGAAACAACCAGATGTCTAGCCACACTGATGAGCTGTGATACAGTGAAACAGGCCTGTATGTGGATGACTATATATATATATATATATATATATATATATATATATATCACAGTAAGATGATAACACAAGCCTTGAATCTTTCATATTTAATGTTACATTTTATCATTCACTCCAATGTTTCTTCAATTACTCTAGGTCATTTGGTGGTGTGTGTGTCCCTATGCATTCATCTGAAACATAACCCTTACATACTTATGTGCAATGTATCAGAGACTGCCCAACTGTTTTCCAATGTGGCTGTTTATATAACCATGCTAATCTTTCCCATGCTTGAAAAATCAGATGCAGATGTGAGGTCACATGTTTCTCTATTCAGCAGCTAGGAGTCACTCTGGGTCAATCCCCTAGAAGACACATTTTATCTATTTTGATTTCTCAAATGCACAAACCACTAGACATAAGACGTACCGTTTAAAATAAAAATGGGGCATCTATTTAAATATACAAGTGCCAACTATAATAATAGTTGAAGCTATATATATATATATATATATATATATATATATATATATATAAAATGGCTGCTACGAACTCATTGTGTATTGGTTAACGATCAAATTCAAATGCTTTTGACACAATATTGAAAATCTGACATGCAGTTGTAAAAATATCACAAGTGACTGACACGTATATACAAAAAACTATACCCTGATTGGTGGTAAAAGTTGCAAGACAGAGGGAAACATTGAGTAAGCTACCAAATGAGCTTGCGTAAATGGATAGCAGAACAGGGCCTGGGAGTGATAGTGAGTGAACAAACGTTGCCTAGAGCTACAAAAGATAGGAAGTTGTGGAGAATCATGATCAACTACATCCTGAAGTGACACAGCATATAAAAGAAAGTAAATGTAGGAGATTATATTGAACATCAAATGCTTGTTGTGTAAAATAAATGCTTTTTTTATATTATTAGGTTTCAGGCCAACTATTAACAAATCTGTGTATGTGTTTGTGTGTGAAATCAATGAATGACTCATATTCCTTCTCTTGCAGACACACCTGGGAACTTCTAATTTCTGGTTGACAAAAATATAAAAACAAAACAAGTTTAGTGAAGGACATCTGGTTACATATGTAGGTATCCAACCAAGTCACCTGATGACAGTGAGAGAATTTACTGATAAGAAGAAAGAATAAAAACAAAATCAAAACAACAATCTATTAAAAAAAAATATATACTAATTTTTTGTTTCACATAAAGAACTGTCTGAACTGCCAGGTAAGCTTGACATAGCCGAAAAGGATATTAGAATAGACCAAAGCCTATATAAACTATAGACCAAAGCCTATATAAACAATAGACCAAAGCCTATATAAACAATAGACCAAAGCCTATATAAACAATAGACCAAAGCCTATATAAACAATAGACCAAAGCCTATATAATTAATAGACCAAAGCCTATATAATTAATAGACTAAAGCCTATATAAACAATAGACCAAAGCCTATATAAACAATAGATCAAAGCCTATATAAACAATAGACCAAAGCCTATATAAACAAACACCTATAAATTTAAAGAAAATGAATTCAGTAAATATACAAAAATAGAAAGGGGTTTTAAGAAAAGGATGTGTCTTCTCACTGGACTTATTTAACCTATAGAGTTAGGTGATTTTGAGAGAATTAGAAGTCCTACCAGTTTTCATTATTGGCGGCCACAGTCTTAATGACATAAGATAAGCAGATGACACAGTGTTGATAGCAAGCACAGAAAGGAAACTACAGGAACTCCTACAGATGGTAGTGAAGGAAAGCAAAGGAAGGATTAAACATCAATTGCAAGTAGATAGAATGTATGGTTGTCAGCAAAAGGAACAGTCCAACATACAAATTACAAATCAGAGATACCATAATCAAACAAGTACAAAAATTTAAAGATCTGGGAATTGTTTTAACAGAAGGTGGAAAGTGTGACACTGAAATCTGAAGGTGCATTGGAATAGTAAAAGATGCTTTCTAAAAGCTGAGCAAAATATTAAGAAACAAGAAAATTTCATTAGAAACAAAGAAAAGACTATTGGACTGTTATGTAATATCTGACTTCCTATATGGCAGTGAATGTTGGAAAATTTCCTCACAGATGAAGAAGAGACTTGAAGCAATAGAAATGTGGTTCTACAGAAGGATGCTGGTAATACAATGAACTGAATATATGAGCAAAGACTCATATATTTAGAGTTTTAAAATTTTAGAGAAAATGGAAACAAAAAGGACATATGCATAATATCAGAAAGAGAGAGTTGGAATTTCTAGGGGACATAATGAGGAAAGAGGGCTTGGAAAATTTGATACCCACAGAATATATTGAAGGCAAGAGGGAGAGAGGAAAACAGCATATAACCTCCCTAATGAGCTTGTGCAAATGGATGGCAAAAGAGGGCTTAGGGGAGATAACAAGAAGACAAAATTTACTAAGACCTATAAAGGACTGAAAATTGTGGATTGCCACCATCCTGAAGAGACACAGCACATAGAAGATAGTGTTGGGGATGTGCAGAATTAATTAACTGTAATTGAGTGAATCAGAAGGAATTTGTGTAGGTTGCGTGACTTTCTGCATCCACAAACAAATAAATAAACGAATTTTAAATACAATCAAAAACAAGACATATTCATTTTAGAAACCAACAAAACATTTATATACGATTAAAAGTAATATATATACAGGATATTTTGGTATATGTTACTATGGCAAAGTGTGTGTGAT